GTACATGTTGTTGCAACCCCAACAGTAACAACTAAACTTCTAGTTGTTATTAGCCTAAATGTCATAATAGTATTCTCAATTTGTATGCACCGATTGTTGTACAGTTATGGCTATATTGTTAGCCTTATTACCAGGGAAGGTGCCACAGGATGGCGGATCAGTGTATGCAGCCTGCTAATAAAATCTAAGTTGATATTGCAGTTACACCTATATAATCCTTCTCTTCATCTAATCTACATGATTTAGACTGTGAAGCCTGATGTATGTAATTCATACTCTGTATAACATTATAACTACTTGTATATACTGTAGCTTTTACAGTTTGAGGTCTCATGCATATGGTTGTTTATTAGCTCCTGTGTGCTTAAAGCGGAGTTCCACTCACGCTGTCAAAAAATAAAAGTCAGCAGCTACAAAAACTGTAGCTGATGACTTTTAAAAAACATCACTTACCTGCCCCTCGGTCTTGCAGTGTGTCCCCTGCAGCCCGTTTCACCGGCCGTCCTGGATTCCATCTTCAGTGTAGGCACCCGGCTGTGATAGCTTGCGGCTTCACAGCCGGGTGCCCACTGAGCATGCGTGAGTAGCGCTGCGCTTCATGAATGTTCCTGTAGTCGTCTGGGACCTGTTAGTGTCCCAAAAGACTACAGGGAGGGAGGACACCTTCCACTTCCGATTGCCTAGGCAATTGGACCGGAAGTGGGAGCGGGTACCTGTCAAATTTGGGTACTCACTCCCACCCCCCAAAGGTGCCAATCCTTAATGGGAAGCGGAGGAGCAGTCCTTAAAGCGGAACTTCGCCTTTTGGGTAGAGCTCCGCTTTAAGCTTTCCTGTGTCTTGAGGACTGCAGGTACTGTGCTTGGCCAGCAATACAAATGAATGGCTGTATGTCCATCCATACCCCTTTAAATCCTGAACACTTCTGCATTTACCCACTCATGTGCGTATTTCCCTAAACACACCATTTTCACATTAGGGGAAATATGTCATACACGCATGTATGGGTAAATGCCAATACAGAAGCAATCTGCATTTACAAGAGTATGGCTTCATATAGCATTTACTTGTAGGCAGGTGCAGTTAGCTGCTTCGCCACTAGGTGGCTCTGCACCAGAATACTGTTTGGTACAGCAGGTAGTGATACCAGGTGTTAGGCTCCTTTTGGGTACAGCCTTCCCACAGTGATGTCAGGGTCAGCACCCACCTATAGGCCATGTGGGGAGGAGCACACACACACACACTTGGGGCATGGGAGCTGAACACCTCACATCTATGAGAATGTAGCCAGCATACATTGGCCCTGGACAGGGCAAGAGGCCAGGTTGAGTGGACCTGTACAAAGGAGGGGCTGGCTGTAGTCTTTATCAGCCTTATGGAGATGGGCTCTAGGGTGGATTGCAAAAGCCCTTTTAGGTCAGGCTGGAGATCCCTGTGGAGGATTCCTGGGAGAGATGAACCTATCAAGGAGGCGACTACTGAGAACACAGTACTATAAGTTCTAATTACCCTAGGCAAAGAAGAGACCATAAGGGAGATGGCTGCTAAAGTGCTGCACATGCTTTCACTTGTGACTACTGCAGACTGTCCACTAAACACATCTGACTGTGTAACATCAAGTCACTCAGGAATGTACTCTATGTCCTTGAGGTTTGACTGTAAGGCTGTTTCCTGGATATCACCAGTAAAGTGCAGTAAAACTATTTCTTGTGTGGACATTTCTTTTTTTGGGGATACAAAGGCCTATTGCAGGCAATGTCGTGAGCGAGCTTATGGCAAGAAGCAAGGCACAAGATGGTGGAGGGTTTGGCCTCAGGAGGAGGACAGTGCTCTAGCAAGGCTCAAGACTTGTGCTCTTGGCGCCAATACTAGCTAACCACTAACTTGTTTTGGCGGCTGTACATGGGACCTGTAGCTCCCTGGGTATGGGAAAGCACCAGGGATTTTATGCTTGAGGCCACAGGAACTAATAATCATCCATGTGCATTAGGCTTAAATTGTCTCTGGCTCTATATTTGAAGACGAGTAGGTGGGATTAATATCACTGTGGACATTTTTCCCTATTGTTGGCAGGAGTGTGTAGTGTACTTAAGGCCTGCTTACGGAACATACACAATTTAATTCAGTTATAATGATATACAGGACAAAAAGAGAAAGAAGGCGATTCTCCCTATTGGGGACACAAACAGCAATAAATACCTGACAGATATTTTAATCTCTCTCCACTCTATCCACACTAAAACAAAGTTTTACCTTTAGCCACAAGGCAAGCGGCTGCAGCAGGGGTTGATCTGTGTCAGATATTTGTGAATACAGCTAAATTTCTACAGTTGCGTTCAAAATAATAGCAGTGTGTTGAAAAAAGTGAATACAGCTCAAAATCCTTCTAATAGCTTTTATTTCCATACACACAAATGCATTGGGAACACTACACATTCTATTCCAAATCAAAACATGAAGAAAAATATATCACATTTGTGTTGTTCCTCTAAAAAAATTAAAGAATAGTGAATATTAGACTGTTCAAAAAATAGCAGTGTTTGTATTCTTCTTTACAAACTCAAACATTCACTATATAAACTGAAAAATGTTGGAAGATTTTGCTTTCCTTTGAATCACTTAATGAATATTTGGTTGTAGTCGCACTGTTTCTGAGAACTGCTGTACATCTGTGTTGCATGGAGTCAACCAACTTCTGGCACCTGTGAACAGGTATTCCAGCCCAGGATGATTGGACTACATTCCACAGTTCTTCTCTATTTCTTGGTTTTGCCTCAGAAACTGCATTTTTGATGTCACCCCACAAGCTTTCTATTGGATTAAGATCCGGGGATTGGGCTGGCCACTCCATAACATCAATTTTGTTGGTCTGGAACCAAGATGTTGCACATTTACTGGTGTGTTTGGGGTCGTTGTCTTGTTGGAACACCCATTTCAAGGGCATTTCCTCTTCAGCATAAGGCAGCATGACCTCTTCAAGTATTCTGATGTATTCAAACTGATCCATGATCCCCGGTATGCGATAAATAGGCCCAACACCGTAGTATGAGAAACATCCCCATATCATGATGCTTGCGCAACCATGCTTCACTGTCTTCACAGTGTACTGTGGCTTGAATTCAGTGTTTGGGGTCGTCTGACAAACTGTCTCCGGCCACTAGACCCAAAAAGAACAATCTTACTTTCATCAGTCCACAAAATGTTGCACCATTTCTCTTTAGGGCAGTCAATGTGCTCTTTGGCAAATTGTAACCTCTTCAGCACATGTCTTTTTTTCAACAGTGGAACTCCCTGCCCCAACCCATCAGATTATCACCTACTCTCCTCTCCTTTAGGTGCACCCTAAAAACCCATCTCTTCAGGGAAGCCTACCCCACCCCCTGCTAACCTGCTGACCTCCTCCACTCTTCCTACCACTCCATCCCCCACAGCTATCTCCTCCTGTACCACTATCCCCTCCCTCCTAGATTGTAAGCTCCAAGGAGCAGGGCCCTCGATCCCCTCATGTTTTGCATTGTATTGGTATTGTTCTGTCACATGTTCTGTCCCCCTTTGTAATGTACAGCGCTGAGCGAACTATTGGCGCTTTATAAATACTGTATAATAATAATAATAATAATAACAGTGGGACTTTGCGGGGGCTTCTTGCAGATAGCTTGGCTTCATATAGGCGTCTTCTAATTGTAACAGTACTCACAGGTAACTTTAGACCTTCGTTGATCTTCCTGGAGCTGATTGTTGGCTGAGTCCGTGCCATTTTGGCTATTCTTCTATCCATTCAAATGGTAGTTTTTCGCTTTCTTCCACGTCTTTCAGGTTTTGGTTGCCATTTTAAAGCATTTGCGATCATTTTAGCTGAGCAGCCTATCATTTTCTGCACTTCTTTATATGTTTTCCCCTCTCCAATCAACTTTTTAATAAAGGTACGCTGTTCTTCTGAACAATGTCTGGAACGACCCATTTTCCTCAGAATTTCAAAGAGAAATGCACTGTAACCAGCATGAACAAAATTTGCTGCCTTCCTTCCTTAAATAAGGGCAATAATTGCCACCTGTTTTTCAAAGAATGAATGACCTCACTAATAGAACTCCACACTGCTATTATTTTGAACATGCCCCTTTCAATTAGTGATTCAGTTACACAGAATCAGCAGCATGCATGTCATGACTGTTGGGTCTGTTGGATTTCTATTACTCTACTACACCTGCTAGTAAATTATCTGCCATGTAGAAATATCATTTCTACCAAAAACAGTGATTGACCAGGTTAGTGATGTCTGACTGCTATTATTTTGAACACAACTGTATGTGTCCCTGTTGCAGTTTTTCCCTCATTCCCTGTCTGGTGAAACTCTGGTCAGTAAGACAGGAATTGAGGGTAAATTTCTCTAATGGAGCCCCAGATAGCAGCAGTAAAAAACAAACCACAGTTCTAATCTTACTCTGATCCATCTAAAACTAGAAAAAAAAGGTTTTGGCTTGACATACACTTTAACATGGAGTATACATTGATGCTATGGCCACTTTAACCGCTTGCCTACAGGGCACTTATACCCCCTTCCTGCCCAGGTCAATTTTCAGCGTTCAGTGCTGTCACACTTTGAATGACAATTGCGTGGTCATGCAACACTGTACCCATATTACATTTTTATAATCTTTTTGAGACAGATAGAGCTTTCTTTTGGTGGTATTTAAACCCCTCTGGGTTTTTTATTTTTTTGCTAAACAAACCAAAAACAACTGAAAATTTTGAAAAAAAAAATTTTTTCTTAGTTTCTGTTATACAATTTTGTAAATAAGTGATTTTTCTCCTTCACTGATGTGTGCTAATGAGGCTGCAGTGATGGGCACTGATAGGCGGCACTGATGGGCACTGATGAGGAGGCACTGGTAGGTGGCACTGATGGGCATTGACAAGCATCACTGATAGGCGCTGAAAGGCAGCACTAATATATGGCACTGATAGGTGGCACTGACTGGCACTGTTAGGCAGCACTGATGCGCACTGATAGGTGGCACTGATAGGTGGCACTGATTGGCAGCACTGATAGGTGGCGCTGACTGGCATTGATAGGTGGCACTGACTGGCACTGATAGGTGGCACTGAAAGGCAGCTCAGATGGGCACTGATATGTGGCATTGATGTGAACTGGTAGGCACTGATATGTGGCATTGATGTGGCACTGATGGGCACTGGCAGGTGGCATTGATGAGCACTGACATCTGGCATTGATGGACACTGACAGGTGTCACTAATGGGGCTACACTGATCATCAGGGCACACTGATCATCAGTGCCCTGATGATCAGTATACATATACCCCTCTGAGGAATGCCGATTACCGGCTCTGCTCTCCTCTTGAGCTGTCAGAGTGACAGCTGGTGAGGAGAGAAATGGCGATAACTGTCATTTCCTTATTTACATGCGATCAGCTGTGATCGGACATAGATGATCACATGAGAGCCGTCTTCGGCTCTTTCCGCTGATCTGTGATACGCTGTGTCCAAGAGACACAGCGCACCACCGATCGCCGCGCTGTGCTCCCCTGGAGCCACGCGCGCACGGTTAGAGTGGGAGGACGTCCTATGATGTCCTCCCAGAACGAAAGAACTGCCTTGCGACCGTCTTTTCCTTATAAGGCGGGCGGGAGGCAGTTAATGACATTAAACAGAACTCCAGACTAAAATAGTTTGGTCTAAATACCAGAGGGATATGTATTCTTACTCAAATCTTGGTGTCCTTTGTGTATTTGTAATCCAGCATAAAACAGCTTCTCTACTTTCCTGAAGCTTCCTGTAATAAAGACCGGTCACTGCTGCTCTCTCTCCTTGTGCAGGGTGACTGGTCTTGTATCCACCTCCTTCTGTAGTTTTCTACAGTCAGCCTGTAGGCAGGTGCAACTAGCTAGTCAGCCACTAGGTGGCTCTGTTCCAGAACAAGACAGAAAGCAGTGCCATCAGATGTTGAGCCCTTTTTGAATAGACCTTTCCTGAAGTGATGTCATAGGTGAATCCTTCCTACAGTGATGTCATAGGTGAATCAGTACCCCGTTATAAGTCAGGTTGGGAGGAGCTCTAGTGCCGATGAGACATGGAAGCCAAATACCAGCACAGATGTAACCAGCTTATGGAGGCACTGGACAGGGCTGGAGGCCAGGAAGAAGTAGACCTGCACCCAGGAGAGCCAGCTGTAGACTTCTTATACTTATGGAGGGGGGGGGGCTAGGGTGGGTTGCAAAAAGCCTTTTAGGCCAGACCAAGAGTGCCCTGAGTGAGGCTGTTACCCTGGAGGGTCCTGGGAGAGGTGTACCCATAGAGGAGGTGACTACAGAGATCCTATTGCAGTGAGTACTAATGACCCCAGGTGGAAAGTTACTGTTACGGGAAGATTGCTGTTACGATCCACCTGGTGGAACCTCTGGCAGGAATACTCAGAGCGTGGAGTCTAAGCCCTGGACTGCGTTTTCACCAGGGCCCCTGATGGTGGGCATGGACTTGAAGCAGACCAGGACCAGGTCACGACCTCCGAGCACTCCTACCTGTGGCAGAGGGGTCCACCAGGGACGACTACAGGGGAGAGCCTGATGTGAAGAGACCGGCAGGGCCCGGCAGGATGGATGGATGGATAGATCACTCGTGGTCAGACAGGCCAGATCGTTACCATGGAGCAGCGAGGTACAGAATCGGCAGGCAGAGGATAGTCAGGGCACACGCAGGGTCAATACCAAGGTAGTCAATCCGAAGGGAGATCCAAGAGAGAGGTCAGACAAGCCAGGGGTCAGGACAGGAGAAGGCAGCGTAGTCAGGGCAATCTGGGTCAGCAAACAGCAGAATAGTACAGGCACAGAGCACAGGAACGCAGGGGAACACAGGGAGACCTAACGGCAATTGGTGACAGCACAGGGCATCTTTAAATATGGCGCCCTGCGCTGTTATTGGTGCGCGGCGTGCACCCGCGGCGCCTAGTGCGCATGCGTGAGTTTGCCCCTGCCGCGGTCGGCCGGGACCTAGTGCCTGTGTCCCGGTGTGAGCCGGCGAAACTGCGCATGTGCCGGGACGGACGCCGCGACGGACCCTGACAATTGCTTACTGAAAGTGCTGCATGATGCTTTCACATGTGACTGATGCAGATGGTCCACTAAATGTGATTGACAATGTACTGTCAAGTGACCCGGATTGTATGTCGATGTGATGTGACTGTTTATGATATTTTCCAAGTACCTCCAACAAAGTGCAGCAACCCAATTTATGTGTGGACATTCCTTCCTTAGGGATATAAATGTCAATAGCTGGTAATGTCGTAAGATGCCTCTGGCATGGAGAGGGGCACAATGTGTGTCCGAGGGTACAGCCTCAACAGGAGTGTTAGTGTTCCAGAAAGGGTAAGAGTGGCACAGGGACTTTGGCACCAACGTCTAGCCAGTTGAAAGCCCCTACTTACAAGCCAGTATTGGATGGGCCTACCAGGTCCCTTCCAAAGCTTTGCTCTCTGCATAGGCTCTACACAGCACAGTGATTATGTCACTGCTACCTTTACAAGGTACTGTCTGGGTATCTAAAGTCATTTGATGCACAAGAAGTAGCTACTGAAGAATACACTTACATTAAAGTTTTTGTGCCTGGAGTTCAGCTTTAACATAGTTTGCATAGGAATGTTATATTTTTTTCTATAATGCTGAGTTGCCCTCTAAAAAAATTCCATCCCTTCATCTGATGAGAATTTATTACATCCTGATCTCAGGTGAACCAGGTGAAGCATTTTTCCATCTATAAAACACTGCCAATGTATTGGTTTATCAAAGATTTGTGTGTCTATGCTGACAGCTCTGCTGCAGGTTAGAACCAATCTCCAGGGCTTTAGGGCTGGTTTCTGCCGAATGAGCCAAACAAGTCCCCACAAGTCAGAAATGAAAACTATTTTTTTGTTTATCCAGAACTGAAATGTAATTGATAAGGAGACCTTTAATACAAACTCTGACCGCCCTTTAAACAGCCAAAGAATTGAGTTACACATTGGCAGCGCTGCGACTCTTAATGGACCTTTCGCAGATGGTTGGAACACTGGACGTCTCTCAGTTATACAGTGCCGACTCAGAATGCCGCTTGTTTCCCAAAGCTCAGCCTATTGTTTGTACAGTAAATGACCCCTTTCTTTTACATGGATAATTCTTTAAATCCACTCTTTGTTACTACGGAAAGCCGTGGAAGAGACATTGCCGAGAAAGATCACTAAATTCTGTTTCTATTGAGTGCAGATTCAAAAGGCTGGACAGAAGTAATTTTAAGGCTGAACTCTAAGCCAAAAACATAGATTGAAATATATTCCTCAATAGCTAGAAGGGATATAAATCTACTTTGTATGCACCAAATACCCTTAAAAACTCAGATATCACCTTGTAAAACTGGCAATAACATCATCACTGTGCTGTACACACAGCAGGGTGAGTAGAAGTTTAGATTTTAGGGCGTTGTCTCTGGGAAAACATTTCTTCAATTTCATCCTGGTTAAAAGAATGTGTCCACGGTTTCTTTCTGGCTTTAATAATGGAATCCCCTGCCTTGGCGGCTTCAGAGTAATCCATCTTAGTAACATTTCTGTCATTGGCCTGGAGCAGGAGGAAGGGTGTGTGTGTATGTCTTCTCCCAGCTGTGTTTGGAGTTACTGATGATGCCCCATGCCAATATTAGGTGGTCTTCCCAGTCTGACCCTAATCTGCTTCTGCAGATTTCCTTGTGGAAGAGAAGGATGTGGATCATTTGCCATCTTACCCTTGCTTGTGATGGTGGCCTACAGTGGACACTTGGGCCTGCACTCTTTACTTGAGTTAAACCATACCCCTTTAAGCCTCTCCCAATGTTAGCACAATTTTCCACACACATTTGGTGTGGCATGCTTTGCCCCCACCCCTGCTCCTACCCTGTCACACATCCAGTAAAAGTAGGAATGGTCAGTAGGGTGTCCCTGGATTTTATTTTGGTCACCTTAGTACATAGCTGGTGCAGAAATCAGATCTCAACAATATAGGAACTTCAGTTAGGAAAAAAAAAGCTGTGCTGAGAAGAAATACAGAAGGCATTGCTACCCTCCTTCTAAATGTCGGTCACCAGAAATTACTGAAACATTTTGAACATGACAGCCAGATACTTTGATTTTTTAAAAGGAATGGCAGCCTACATATTTTCTCAGTTCTTTTCCTTTAAATATGTAAAATTGACACAGGGATCTCGCGTGCCTGCTTTTCATTTTTGGTTGCATAATTTCAAAGAATATTACATGAAACCTTTTTCAAGTGATGCAATGCATGGAGAAGAAAATAGAGCCTGTGACAAAATTTCGCCCTGTGGGTTTTGAATAACCAGTTAGCTCTAGCTTTGAAAGAGCTAAGGCTAGCCATATATGAACTACTGTTTCACTGAGAATGATGTGCAGTGAGGTATCTGCCCATTCATGAGCCATGGGAACACCAGGTCCTTCCAAAATCTTCTTCCATTCTCAGCTATTAGTCATTTCTTGTGTACTGAGAAGCATCTAAAAGAAAGATTCATCCCACTTGGAGGACTTTTTGAAAAGCTGTATGTGATGCTCTTAAACTATCAAATGTTTCAAAAAGTCCTTCAAGTGAGATGACCTTTTGTACCAGGCGCTCCTCGGAACACATCCAAGAATTTACCATCTGGCAAGTGCTTCCTTTGTCGCTGTCGGAGAGGTAGCGGACTAGGACCAAAACACAGTCCACCTATATTATATTTCAACCATGGATCTGCTTCTTTGACGGAAAAATCACTTTATGCTAGATTGCCTGGAACCAACTATTACTTCTGTTGGTCCAGCGCTATCACACATGTAGCAGGCAGCTCTTAGTAATGACCAACCTGATAGTTCCCAGCTTTGATAGAACTAAGGGTATCCATATATGAACTGTTGTTTCACTGAGAATGAGGGGCATTGAGACATCTACCAATTCATGAGTCATGGATGTACCAAGTCCTTCCACAATCTTCTCTCATTATCAGCTATTAGTAATTTCTTGGATGCACATCGAGGAGCACCTGGTATGAAACTTCATCTGACTTAAAAGGACTTTTTGAAACATTGAACAGTTAAGAGCAGGAAATATAGCCAAAGGCTGAATGTTGGGGATTGTTGTCAATTCCCAATTCCTAGGGATCAAGACTCCACCTGCAGTTAGGAGGAAATGGAGGAAGCCCTTCTTGGCAGTGGTAATTGACCCTGAGAAGATAAATAGTAAGGCCACTTCTTGGGTCTTTGGCCACGCAGTACCTATGATCATGCTGGAAATATTTTCTCTACCTTCTTTTACATTGACTGGGTGTCCCACAGACCTGATTAAGGTGAACGGATATCTCTCTAAAGAGACTGTAGATGGCAACATAAGCACCTTATTTTCCCTACCCCTGGGAGCAGATGTTAACTCCTAGTGGTCTGGTAGGCTGAC